CTTCCTTTCCTCCTTTTCCCTTTTCCTTTTCCCCTTTCCTTTTCCTTTTTCCTTTTCCTTTTCCTTCTCCTTCTCCTTCTCCTTCTCCTTCTCCTTTCCTTTTCCTTTTCCTTTTCCTTTTCCTTCCTTCCTTTTCCTTCTCCTTCTTCTCCTTCTCCTTTCTTCTCTTCTTTTTCTCCTTTACTTCTACTTATTATTATCATTATATTGTTGTTACTAGAAGTGCAGTTAGCATTATTATCACCATCCTTATACCACTGTAACAACTTATTCTGTAAACCAAACAAACCGACTCCTTGCATAACAACAGGCTTATAATAAATAAAAATACAAGCATATAATAAACTAAAAAAATACATGCATATAAATGAATAAAATAATTTTGAAAATAATATAATAAAAAAATTATAAGATTTTTAAAATATATATACTAAAAAATGAAAATAAAATAATATTAATAGAAATATATTATAATAAAATATATAATAATAAAAAAATATAATGATGCAAATATAATAATATAATATAAAAAAAATATAATAATGCAAAATTATAATATAATAATAATGATAATAATATATAATAATAAAAAATATAAATAAAATAATAAATATAATATATAATAATTAATAAAAAAAATAATAATAATAAAAAATATAAATAATTACAATTAATAATAAAAATATAAAACATAATAAACATAACATAATAATAAAAAAAAATATATAATATAATATAATAAAAATATAATAATATAATAATAATAATAATATAATAATATAATAATAATAAAAATACAATAACATAACAACAATAAATACAAAACAGTACTAAAAACCTGCCCAAGCACCCACGCCCATTTCGCAACGCCGTCTCCTTCCCTCCCAGGACGTCATCGTGAGGTCCAGCTGCTCTCCTCGCGCCCGTGAATACTCCTGCGCCATCCTGGAGCCTCCCTGCGGTGCCAGCGGTGCCATCCTGCCTCCTTGCCGGACCTTCTGTCGATGTAAGATCATGACGAAGTAGATTTGAGGGTTTTTTTTATATAGTGAGTTAGGTTTAAGGTCTTTGCTAGTATTTTATAGTTAGGTTAGAGGTCTTGCTAGTATTTTATAGTTAGTTTTCTTGCTAGTATTTTATAGTTAGGTTTAAGGTCTTGCTAGTATTTTTATAGTTAGGTTAGAGGTCTTGCTTAGTATTATAGTTAGGTTAAGGTCTTGCTAGTATTTTATAGTTAGGTTAAGGTCTTGCTAGTATTTTCTTGCTAGTATTTTATAGTTAGGTTAAGGTCTTGCTAGTATTTTATAGTTAGGTTAGAGGTCTTGCTAGTATTTTATATTAGGTTTTCTTGCTAGTATTTTATAGTTAGGTTAGGTCTTGCTAGTAGTTAGGTTAAAGGTCTTGCTAGTATTTTATAGTTAGGTTAAAGGTCTTGCTAGTATTTTATAGTTAGGTTAGAGGTCTTGCTAGTATTTTATAGTTAGGTTTAAGGTCTTGCTAGTATTTTATAGTTAGGTTAAAGGTCTTGCTAGTATTTTATAGTTAGGTTTAAGGTCTTGCTAGTATTTATAGTCTTGCTAGTATTTTATAGTTAGGTTAAGGTCTTGCTAGTATTTTATAGTTAGGTTAGAGGTCTTGCTAGTATTTTATAGTTAGGTTAAGTCTTGCTAGTATTTTATAGTTAGGTTAAGGTCTTGCTAGTTTTATAGTTAGGTTAGAGGTCTTGCTAGTATTTTATAGTTAGGTTAGAGGTCTTGCTAGTATTTTATAGTTAGGTTAGGGTCTTGCTAGTATTTTATAGTTAGGTTTAAGGTCTTGCTAGTATTTTATAGTTAGGTTAGAGGTCTTGCTAGTATTTTATAGTTAGGTTAAGGGTCTTGCTAGTATTTTATAGTTAGGTTAGAGGTCTTGCTAGTATTTTATAGTTAGGTTAGAGGTCTTGCTAGTATTTATAGTTAGGTTAGAGGTCTTGCTAGTATTTTATAGTTAGGTTAAGGTCTTGCTAGTATTTTATAGTTAGGTTTAGGTTAAGTATTTTATAGTTAGGTTAGAGGTCTTGCTAGTATTTATAAGCTTGCTAGTATTTTTATAGTTAGGTTTAAGGTCTTGCTAGTATTTTATAGTTAGGTTAGGGTCTTGCTAGTATTTTATAGTTAGGTTAGAGTCTTGCTAGTAGTTAGGTTAAGGTCTGCTTGTAGTATTTTATAGTTAGAGGTCTTGCTAGTATTTTTAGTTAGGTTAAGTCTTGCTAGTATTTTATAGTTAGGTTAGGTCTTGCTAGTATTTTATAGTTAGGTTAAGGTCTTGCTAGTATTTTATAGTTAGGTTAAAGGTCTTGCTAGTATTTTATGTTAGGTTAGAGGTCTTGCTAGTATTTTATAGTTAGGTTAAGGTCTTGCTAGTATTTTATAGTTAGGTTTAGAGGTCTTGCTAGTATTTTATAGTTAGGTTAGAGGTCTTGCTAGTATTTATAGGTTAGGTCTTGCTAGTATTTTATAGTTAGGTTAGAGGTCTTGCTAGTATTTTATAGTTAGGTTAAAGGTCTTGCTAGTATTTTATAGTTAGGTTAAAGGTCTTGCTAGTATTTTATAGTTAGGTTAGAGGTCTTGCTAGTATTTATAGTTAGGTTTAAGGTCTTGCTAGTATTTTATAGTTAGGTTAGAGGTCTTGCTAGTATTTTAGTTAGGTTTAGGTTTGCTAGTATTTTATAGTTAGGTTAGCTGTCTGCTAGTTTTTTATAGTTAGGTTTAGGTCTTGCTAGTATTTTTATAGTTAGGTTAAAGGTCTTGCTAGTATTTTATAGTTAGGTTAAAGGTCTTGCTAGTATTTATAGTTAGGTTAGAGGTCTTGCTAGTATTTATAGTTAGGTAGGTCTTGCTAGTATTTTATAGCTTGCTAGTATTTTATAGTTAGGTTAGAGGTCTTGCTAGTATTTTATAGTTAGGTTAGAGGTCTTGCTAGTATTTTATAGTTTAGGTTTGAGGTCTTGCTAGTATTTTATAGTTAGGTTTTCTTGCTAGTATTTTATAGTTAGGTTTAAGGTCTTGCTAGTATTTTATAGTTAGGTTAGAGGTCTTGCTAGTATTTTATAGTTAGGTTTCAGGTCTTGCTAGTATTTTATAGTTAGGTTAGAGTCTTGCTAGTATTTTATAGTTAGGTTAGAGGTCTTGCTAGTATTATAGCTTGCTAGTATTTTATAGTTAGGTTAGGTCTTGCTAGTATTTTATAGTTAGGTAGGTCTTGCTAGTATTTTATAGTTAGGTTAAGGTCTTGCTAGTATTTTATAGTTAGGTTAGAGGTCTTGCTAGTATTTTATAGTTAGGTTTAAGGTCTTGCTAGTATTTTATAGTTAGGTTAGAGGTCTTGCTAGTATTTTATAGTTAGGTCTTGCTAGTATATAGTTAGGTTAGTCTTGCTAGTATTTTAGGTTTCTGCTAGTATTTATAGTTAGTTAGAGGTCTTGCTAGTATTTTATAGTTAGGTTAGAGGTCTTGCTAGTATTTTATAGTTAGGTTAGAGTCTTGCTAGTATTTTATAGTTAGGTTAGAGGTCTTGCTAGTATTTTATAGTTAGGTTAGAGGTCTTGCTAGTATTTTATAGTTAGGTTAGAGGTTTGCTAGTATTTTATAGTTAGGTTAGAGGTCTTGCTAGTATTTTATAGTTAGGTTTAAGGTCTTGCTAGTATCTTGCTATATTTTATAGTTAGGTTAGAGGTCTTGCTAGTATTTTATAGTTAGGTTAGAGGTCTTGCTAGTATTTTTAAGTTAGGTTAGAGGTCTTGCTAGTATTTTATAGTTAGGTTTGAGGTCTTGCTAGTATTTTAGTTAGGTTTAGTATAGTTAGGTCTTGCTAGTATTTTATAGTTAGGTTAGAGGTCTTGCTAGTATTTTATAGTTAGGTTTAAGGTCTTGCTAGTATTTTATAGTTAGGTTAGAGGTCTTGCTAGTATTTTATAGTTAGGTTAGAGGTCTTGCTAGTATTTTATAGTTAGGTTTCTTGCTAGTATTTTATAGTTAGGTTAAAGGTCTTGCTAGTATTTTATAGTTTAGGTTAGAGGTCTTGCTAGCTTGCTTAGTATTTTATAGTTAGGTTAGGTCTTGCTAGTATTTTATAGTTAGGTTAGAGTCTTGCTAGTTTTTATAGTTAGGTTAAGTCTTGCTAGTATTTATAGTTAGGTTAGGTCTTGCTAGTATTTTATAGTTAGGTCTTGCTAGTATTTTATAGTTTAGGTTAGAGGTCTTGCTAGTATTTTATAGTTAGCTTGCTAGTATTTTATAGTTAGGTTAGGTCTTGCTAGTATTTTATAGTTAGGTCTTGCTAGTATTTTTATAGTTAGGTTAGAGGTCTTGCTAGTATTTTATAGTTTAGGTTAGAGGTCTTGCTAGTATTTTATAGTTAGGTTAGAGGTCTTGCTAGTATTTTATAGTTAGGTTAGGTCTTGCTAGTATTTTATAGTTAGGTTAGAGGTCTTGCTAGTATTTTTATAGTTAGGTTAGGGTCTTGCTAGTATTTTATAGTTAGGTTAGAGTATTTTATAGTTAGGTTGCTCTTGCTAGTATTTTATAGTTAGGTTAGAGTAGTCTTGCTAGTATTTTATAGTTAGGTTAAGGTCTTGCTAGTATTTTATAGTTAGGTTAGAGGTCTTGCTAGTATTTTATAGTTAGGTTAGAGGTCTTGCTAGTATTTTTATAGTTAGGTTAGAGGTCTTGCTAGTATTTTAGTAGTTAGGTTAGAGGTCTTGCTAGTATTTTATAGTCTTGCTAGTATTTTATAGTTAGGTTTCTTGCTAGTATTTTATAGTTAGGTTTAGGTCTGCTAGTATTTTATAGTTAGGTTAGAGTTAGGTTAGAGGTCTTGCTAGTATTTTATAGTTAGGTTAAGGTCTGCTAGTATTTTATAGTTAGGTTAGGTCTTGCTAGTATTTTATAGTTAGGTTAGAGGTCTTGCTAGTATTTTATAGTTAGGTTAGAGGTCTTGCCTTGCTAGTATTTTATAGTTAGGTTTTCTTGCTAGTATTTTATAGTTAGAGGTCTTGCCTTGCTAGTATTTTATAGTTAGGTTAGAGGTCTTGCTAGTATTTTATAGTTAGGTCTTGCTAGTATTTATAGTTAGTTAGGCTAGTATTCTCTTGCTAGTATTTTATAGTTAGGTTAGAGTCTTGCTAGTTTTTATAGTTAGGTCTTGCTAGTATTTTATAGTTAGGTTTCTTGCTAGTCTAGTTTAGGTTTCTTGCCTGCTAGTATTTTATAGTTAGGTTCTTGCTAGTATTTTTATAGTTAGAGAGGTTAGCTTGCTAGAGTTAGGTCTTGCTAGTATTTATAGTTAGGTTAAAGTATTTTATAGTTACTTGCTAGTATTTTATAGTTAGGTTTCTTGCTAGTATTTTATAGTTAGGTTAGAGGTAGTTCCTTGCTAGTATTTTATAGTTAGGTTAGAGGTCTTGCTCTCTTGCTAGTATTTTATAGTTAGGTTCTTGCTAGTATTTTATCTTGCTAGTATTTTATAGTTAGGTTTCTTGCTAGCATAGTTAGGTTAAGGTCTTGCTAGTATTTTATAGTTAGGTTAGAGGTCTTGCTAGTATTTTATAGTTAGGTTAGAGGTCTTGCTAGTATTTATAGTTAGGTTAGAGGTCTTGCTAGTATTTTATAGTTAGGTTTTCTTGCTAGTATTTATAGTTAGGTTAAACTTGCTAGTATTCCTTGCTAGTATTTTAAGTTAGTTACAGTATTTTATAGTTAGGTCTTGCTAGTATTTTATAGTTAGGTTACTTGCTAGTATTTTATAGTTAGGTTTAAGGTCTTGCTAGTATTTTATAGTTTTTTGTTGTTGTTTTTTTTTTGTGGGAAAATAATGTTTTTATTAGATTCCATAAATATCGGTGTGTTTAATTTCATTTCACAGTGAATGCACATTTGGATTCCATCAAAGTAGCTACGAGAGTAATCCCAATCCATTGTGAATCTCCTTAAGAGTACTTTCATTCCACTGTGAATGCTTATATCCATATCCTTTAACACACACACACACACACACACACACACACACACACACACACACACACACACACACACACACACACACACACACACACACACACACACACACACACACACACACGCACACGCACACACACAAAAAAAAACGCTACTTAAATCGTTTTTATCTCTTATGAACGTTGCCTGACCCCCCCCCCCCTTTCCTCCTTCCAGCTGTGGCTTCAACGTGCCAAGAATTCGTGATCAAAGGCTTCGGTTTAAGCGACGTCTTCAACTGCGATAAATTCCCCGACTCGACCGACCCCGCAGTGTGCTTCGACGCCACTCAAGGTGAGCTCAAGGGAATCGGATCCCCTATACTGGCCGCGAGAGTGCACTACGATCGCGCATTTTCCCCTTATCATTATGCTTTTGTTTCTTGCTTTGCCTGTGCTTTTTTTTTGGTAATAATTTGTGCTTACAGTGACTAGTTTTCACTTTATTATTGTTTTATTTCTTTTTTATTTCGTAGGTTCGTGTATTTTCATGCCTTTTTTCGCAGTATCCTTAAGCTGATCTGCTTTATTATGTTTCAGTATTTGTCAGAATTCTGTCCATTTCAGCTTTATAATCTATCCTTTTTGACTGTTTCACTTCTCTTTTTTTGGGTTCTCTAAGCAATCTCAACCTTGCTTTTCACGTGAACAAATGTAAGGGAAGATACTGAACCTCGATTTAATAATACTGCTGAGTGTCATCAGGGTTCCACAAAGAAGGGTTTCCGCAATTCAGTCCTTTGACAGTAGGGTATGTACAAGCAAGAGATGCTTGCAGGAATGTGGCACGATTACCATTCCAACACTATTCACCGAATGTTTCACTGAAATGCACAGCAGCGCTTGTGTATGGATAAATAAATGTTTGTTAGGAGCACCAGCCATATTGTATGTCAGCACTTTCAATTCACCGTATTGAAAAAAATGCATACGTCTAACTTAATGTTTTGATCAAGTTTACACGCAGAATGAATGTATCAAAACCACGCTTTTCAGGGGCTGTCCCCTTTTTTCTCCGAGGGGACAGAAAACAAAAGAAAATCAAACGCGTACGTAGAATTAAAAGAAAAAAAGAAAAACATGAATGGTTCGTAGGGTTACCTTGCAGACCCGTTCATGTCTCCTCTTATATTTTCTTAAGACTGAAGAGCTGTAAGCATCAGGTGTGGGTGTTGGTGCTGAGGGGCGGAGTTGGTGACGGAAAAACAAGGGAACAAGGCAGTCGGTGGTTGGAGTCGAAAACACGTGGTAAAGGCCTCTTAACTAGCGATTGCTATTCCCGCAAGAATTTAACAGCAGAGAGGAGACACATACACATATAAACTGGCCGGGAGTTTAAACAATGGGTAAAAAAAAAAAAAAAAAAAAAAACATTCTCATCTGTAGGAATGGACAAAGGTTTTACACGGATCCCAATAATAAAGATAGGCTAGGAGTTAAATTGGATAAGGATTATCAGGTTTAAACTAGACGAACACTAATTGCTATGACTCTGGCTACTGCGGTTACGGTACAGAGCCTTGTCTGGGTCTGGAGCACCGCTGTGGAGACGGCAGATGTGTGGCGAAGAGGCTAGTCTGTGACGGAATCTCAGACTGTGTTGACCAGTCAGATGAGGCTACATGTCCTGGCCGTCTTCCAGGTCAGTCAGAATGGCTAGGTCTCGTCGGTGGCTCCTGAAGGTGGGAACAACTGCCTGCTCATAGGCCTAACTACCTGTTTTTTTACTTTTCCGTTGGTTCTCAGCTGAAGACGAAATATTGCTTCTACACTGAAGCTTAAACTATTCAACTTCAAGACTAGCAAAGTAATATATAAAAAAAAAAGGCCTATGAACAGGTATTTCCCGAAAACCTAAAAGCATCAAGCTAACCAGTTGCTACCTTCTAGCACCACACGAGAAAACAGTCCAAATTAACCCAAAAATGGACCCATTTAACTCTGGGAAACATAGAAATAGAGGCATGAAGTCTCCATTTAATTCAAGTAACTAGTGACGATAGGTCTTGGATCGTCTAAGTGGATGCACGAGCCGCTGTTCGAACACCTCTCACATGGCCGAGGGATCATGCATGTAAAGGTGGAGGAGTTAATAAAACTTTCACGTTCCAATCACTCTGTATATGAACTTATGTTTGCACTTACTTTTATTTGCCTTTTTTATTTTTTATATTCTTTTTTTTTTCTTATTGATGGATACGACATACTAGAGCATGAATTTCGGATAGTATGATTTGCAAATTTGATATAAAAATGATAAAAGCACTTAAAAACTTTAATGTAACTAAAATCATCTAAAGAATAGAGATATCTGTAATGAACGAGAAAGGGAAGATTTGCTACATAATCACTAGTTATATTAGGAAAATAAATTAGGATTTTAGTGCATCATGTTCCACTCGAAATAACAGATGATAGAATTTAGCTTGAATGAATAGTCCTAAATCAACTGATCTTCAGCACTTCCTAAAAGAAGATAGTCTGAGCTGTTTTCTGTCCTTTTTAATAATCTCTCTTGGATTGTCAACTTCTTGCTGACTGTCATGACATAAGGACACCAGATGGTCACGTTTGAGGCAGCAAACATCGCCTTTTTTTATTCTGATTACGATTTTTTGGATTATGGACCGTATTTATAGAAATAATAATAATGTCTTGCATCGGTGTCCCTGTGTGTGGCATGTCAGCGCTAAGATGCAGAAACATATTTTTTTGAGAACTCTTTCCTGAAGATGACTGGAAAGTAGTTTGATAAGAAATACAAAATCTGTATCTTGCATTTCATTTGCTAACTGCTGCTTTTAGCAAATAGCACAAGCAGTTGCATGCACATTTGTTATATTACTAACCTGACTCACAGCTCCTGTCGGCGACGCAGCAACAGCAGCATCAGGCAACACCTTCCAGCAGCTCCCCACCCCAAGCGAACTGCCGGACGCTCGAACCGGCGGCCGGGAATTGCCCCTCGAGGATTACTCGACCCTCGACCGCCCCGAAGCCGCGCTAGAAGGACAGGCCCCCCCGGCAGATGACTACCCTGTCTATGACGATTACTCTGTCACTGAGGACTACCCCGAAGGTCCTCAGGATTACGTGACTGACTCCTTTGATTACACGGAGGTCGTTGACAGTTCCGTGGCGACTCTCCCGCCCGTGGACGAGCTCGAGGGCCCTGTCGACGCTGCGAACGAGTCTCTGGCCGGCGCTGAAGACCCGTTCCAGCGCGACTTGGTCGACTTTAGCACGGAGTTTGCCCCCGTGGAAGCCTTCATGCCGACGGAAGAGCCAGTCGCGTCAGAGGCCCAGGACTTTGTTGCCGAGGGAGACTTTCTGTCCACCGACGGTCCGGTTCTGATCTGTGACCATGAGAAGTTCCTGTGTCAGAACGGCTTTGACTGCGTGGACTTGGCGGCTGTATGCGATGGCCTTCCGCACTGTAGTGATGGATCTGATGAGGCCAATTGTACCAGCATCGGTGAGTCTCCCAAATTCATCACATCCTCTTCCCCATCTGCAGGTTTGGGGCTTCACTCTGCCTTCGCGGTTCTCTGATGGACGCCTCTGAATGGCTTGGCGGAAAGGAATGACTGGTGACTCTTTTCTGCTTCTGACTCCCCGGACTTTGCGGTTCCGTGACAATCAGTTCTCATCATTTATACCACATATATATGTATATATGTATATATATATATATATATATATATAATATATATATATATAAATTTCGCTTTCCCCTTTTCTTCACCTGCCACAAATCTCTCTCTCTCTCTCTCTCTCTCTCTCTCTCTCTCTCTCTCTCTCTCTCTCTCTCTCTCTCTCTCTCTCTCTCTCTCTCTCTCTCTCTCTCTCTATCGTTCGCATACCTCTCATGACAAAAATAAATCACCGAGACTGCATGACTTCCATGGGATCTGGCGTCTGATGAAAGATCAAACCCTCCACAAAGCAGATGCAACCCCTTTGCCACTGATTCTCTGTCCTTTGGTACGTCCTCAGGGTAATACTTTCCCGCCGGTGGATGGTCACATCTTTTCGTTTTTTTCCCACGCTGCGACATCTCTCCTCCAATTGAATATGTGTTTTGTAGTGTTCATTATATTCAAAAACCTTTGTTTTAGCAATGATGACGATAACTATAAACAGTGACGCTTCCCCTATTAGCATCTGTTTTAGTCCATTGATATATATAAATTAGGTCAGTAACGCAGCCAATAGCATACATAAGTTCCACCATCCCTATACTTAGGCCCTCACAAAACCACCAAATGTACTGATTACACGACCCACACCCCCATAATGATTCCCCCTTACCGTGCCATCCTAGGCTGCCCCAATGACGACGACTTCAAGTGCGCCACCACTGACATCTGTATCCCCAAATCGTGGCTTTGTGACGGCGCAGATGACTGTCGAGACAATAGTGACGAGACTGACTGTGACTTCCTTCAGTCATCACCGACTGATCAGCTGGAAACTCTTGCTCCTCTCGGGCAGTTCCCTTACCCTAGAGACGAAAGCATTGACAGGGAATATTCACAGACGTCAAGCGAAGACCTGGCGAGCGCGAACAGAACAGAATATCAGGACGCTGCTGGCGGGTTCTCCCCCGAGGGCATGGAAGTAAGCGAAGTGTTCGGTGGCAACGTTCTTCCTGGAGAACCTGCCCCGCTCCAGGAGGCGCTTGTTGGCACTCCGCCCTCCGAGGAAGGCATCCCAACCCCTTTGACTTACGGAGAGGATCTGCAGGTGTATCCTGAAGAAGATCCTCAGGAGTTCCCCGGTCAGTCACAGTACCCAGAGACCTATGCGGACGAAGGAGTTCCACAGGACCCAGAACAGTTCCCTGCAGGAGCCCAGTACCCGGGTGGAGAGACGCAGTTCTCTGATGCTGGTTTTCAGCAGTTTTCAGGAAACCAGTACCAACCCATTGAGAATTATCAAGAACCCTCCGAGTACCAGTATCAATCCCAGGAAAGCTACCCGGGACTCACGGAATACCAATACCAAGACCAGGAAAATCGCCAAGAACCGCCAGAATACCAGTATCAATCTGAAGAAAACTATGACGGTTCCTCAGAGTACCAGTACCAAGATCCGTCAGGAAATCTGTACCAGCCCCAGGAGAATTACCAAGGTGTACAGGAAAATGTTCACTCAGAAGGAAGCTTCCCTCAGTCATCTGGCGAGTTCCCTCCGGAGGAAATTCAGCCCCCGGTCGATTTCCAGAATGAGGATTCCCTTCCCGTGCCTCCGCAGCCGCTGCCAGAACAGCCACAGGGAAATAACGCGGAGCAAGGGTTCCAGAGTTCTCTAGGGGGACAACAGTCGCCCCCAGGAGAGTATCAGCCATTCGCAGAGAAGCCAGCTACAGGTAGTGATTACCAAGAATTTGAGGAGCAACCAGCACTAGATGGCGACTTCCAACAATTCCAAGAGCAACCCACACTAAATGATGGCTACCAACAGTATCCAGAGCAGCCAAGACCGAATGGCGACTTCCAACAATTCCAGGAACAGCCAGCATTAAACGGTGATTTCCAACAATTCCAAGAGCAACCCACATCAAACGGTAACTACGAACAATATCCGGAACAGCCAGCACCAACTGGTGAATTCCAACAATTCCAGGAACAGTCAGTTGCTAGTGGTGACTTCCAGCAGTTCCAGGACCAACCAGCAACACCCGATGGTTCCCAGCAGGTCCAAGACCAACTAACACCAGCTGATGATTTCCAGCCATTCGGTGAGCAGCCGGCCACCGACTCTTCCCACAGCGAGCAGCCGCCTCAGCCAGAACTCGACACCCAGCAGGACCTCGGATCCTTCCAGCCACAAGAGTCCGAAGCTCAAGTTGACGAGCAAGAATCCTCTGATCCTGAGAATCTCCCTGAGGGAAACATTGAGACGAATGAAGACGTTGCTCCGCTGTCCGGAACACGAGCGCAGAGTGAGAATGGATTACTTGAAGATGAACCGGAGCCAGTTCGTAGTAAAGACAAGTGGTACGAGGATGCTGGAGATTTAAGTGTACCAGAAGCGTTTGCGGGTGAATCACGGATCGAGGGGAAGGAAAGCGTCCCTGAGGAAAGTGAAAATAGTCTGTCTTCCGACTCGTCCGCGACACAAACTGTAGATGAGGAAGAGAAGCAGGAAAATGAATCTCCATTTCTAAGCAGGCTTAGAGGAACCTCCCGCTTCCCCAATCTTCGTCGTCCCTTCACACGGCGCCCCCAGAGACCCACACAAAGACCAATCCAGGCTTTGACAACAACAAGAGCCCCGTCTTCTTCAGACACGACAGAATCCTTCAGGTCACGGTTCCAGAAGTGGCGCAGCTCCCGCCTCCCCCCAGCACCCAGTTACGAGTCCCTTCGACTAAATGCCTTGAGAGAACACGAGAACAGCCAACCAGAGCCCGTAGAGGAACCGGCCGAAGCTGCACCAGGACCGGCAGCCCCACACACGCCTACCATCACCCGGCGTCCTCTGGGAATCCGAACCTCGAGAATCACCTCGCGTCTCAATCCTTTCACCCACCATGAGGAATTACTCAAGGAGAATGTTGAGTCCGAGGAACCTGGCCTTGTCATTCCTGAAGAAGAAGAGCAAATACCTGACAGCGAACTCGCACAATCCACTACTTACAACGTGCAGGTCTCCCCCCCTGTGCTGCAGAGTACATACGACAATAGCCCCTATAACCCCCAAGGGTACGACTCCCTGGCAAGACAAGGACATACATTCACCCAGACCCGAGACTCTCCTTACAACGCTAATCAGAGGCTTCGAGAATACAACCCAGATGTTGCCAGACATCGTTTGGACAATCACTCACCTTATCACTTGCCATTTAATCACAATCAGTATTCACAAGGTAACACGCATAAATAAACAAGTGTAAGCTTCGTGGTCTCGTCACATCAAATCACGTACGTATGAATTTTATATTTGTCTACAAAATGTGGGATTGGTTGAATCTGACTGACTGCATGCCTGAGCTCTTCTGTGCCTGTCCTATTTGAAATAATAGACTCAGAATTGATTCATCTGAACAGTTTGCCATTAGTTAATAGCATGGAAAACGATTACCAAGTTAAAAATCACAACCACTTGCATGTAATTAGTACACATAGTAAACGATAAAGTTCCAACCTTACTGTCAAACACATAAAGTCTAAAGCTTATTCCCTTGTTAAATATATAGCCATTTTACATGCAGTTGCTACAACCCCCATCTTAGAAGCATCCATTTCAGAGAACTAAAATTCAGAAACTTAGAGGCTCTAAACCTTTAAAAAATTAACTTCTGACCCAAATGTTCTCAGGACTCTCCTCGTCAACACCCTCTGCCTCAGCGACCCCAGAGGAACCCCGGACTTCCTTCCCTGGCGAAGACTTGGCAACTACTTTCCCCGAGGACGTGACGGAGGACGCCGTGACCGAAGGGGCAGTGGAGGAGACGACCTTCTTCACAGCGGCACCTGAAACCTGTCCCGAACTGGTGTGCTTGGACGGAACCTGCCTCGCCATTTCCCAGCTGAATGATGGTGTCAATGACTGTCCGGATGGCACAGACGAGCAGAACTTTTCTGAGCTGATTTCTTAAGGCGTAGGAGGGAAGTCTGTGTGCATACCTTATAAATGTTTGTATTCCAACAGTAATTTCAGTTGCAGCTTCCATTCATAGAAATACGAAAGGTATATATGTTATTTAATTTGCAGCAGCTTCAATGAATTGTTGATAAATATTTTACTTTTCCTAATGTCGAGAAAAAAAAATCATTTTCTATGGAAATGTCAACTATTTGGTACTTTTCTCTTAATTGTTAATACCGATATTCTGAGACCGCCAAATTATTCAATATTCCAGTCTGTCTGGTTGTTGCCACAGTCGTTGTGAAGCCAGTCCGTCCGTACCGGTCATTAGTCAGTAATTTTCTGTATATGTGAATCTCCCTTTCATTTTAACCTATTTCAACACCCCATTTTTTTATTTTAATCTAGAATTATTCTTTTGTATATAGTGTAATTACTAATTTTCTACTTGATTTCTGGCATTCTTCGAAGTATGTTCTTAACAACCACAAGGTTTGTTACTTTCCATTTATTCCGTCCAATTTATTTTTATGACCAGTTGAGCCAATGGCAAGGGTCTTATGAGGAGAGTTGTGAAAAAAAAACTTTTTTTAGGCTGTTCAGTACCTTTAAAATATTTATTGCATTTCTTATTTATAGTTTATTTACATCTCTATGTTCTATTGCATTGATTATAGATTCTGAAAGTAAGACTATGTCCTTTTCACAATGTCAAAAAAATTATTATAAACTTAGAGAGATCTGAGATAAGAATTCACATCTCTGTACCTTCAGAGGGTCATGCATTGTGTAGCCTCTCTCTCAAGCAGCTTTCTATATACCTGGAAGTCCCTTGCTCATGAGTTAATGCACTGTCAGCTCTATAATGTGTTTGTGAAAATGAAAATTATTGTCAGTGACTGTTGTGTGTGTGTGTGTCTGAAGAATGTGCGTGAACTGAATGTTTCATTAGTGTTGTATTTTATTACCAATTTTCCACAAAGTGAATGTAGATATTTTGACATGTTTAATAGTCTCAATCTTCCATGCAATCTGAAAGGTAGCTATATATATGAATATATGTATGGATGTTTCTTTTATTAAATAAAATGTTCCATGATCAAACCTGTTGTCTTCATATTCATACACTATTCCCGCATCGGTAAAAACAAACCCATAGATATCAATAAAACAAATGTCTAAGACCTGGTTTCCTTCAAATTTTATTTCTGAAAAATGCTTTTTTGCACTGTACATACAAGCTCTACACAAAGTTTTCTCTTATTTTTTGTTGGCCATGACTATTTGAATAAAATAAAATACTCACCAAATGGAATGTTGAACTATGCAAAAGGCATAGTTGCAATTTATCCAACAATACTTCAATGGCATGG